TAATCCTTAATCTACGCGGCCAATCAACAATCGCAGCACGCACCACATTATATCTTTTTTCTGCCGCTGCTTCAGCCAAAGATGCTTGGCGAGATTCCAAATCCCGATGAGTAGTGAACATATCTTGTAATCCAGTGGGTTTAAATTTGTACTAAAAGAGGGCCAGTCTTCATGTCTGATAAAGTCAATTCCACGGGCGGTTTACCAGTTTTGCGTGCTACGTGCCCTATGAGCTGGTGCAGAGTCCTCTTGGAAGATCCAATGTCTGATTGTGAAAATTTTTTGAGAAATAAGTTCCACTATGTTGTTTATTAGGACGGTGTTTTGGTACACCTCGGCACTGGTTTTTACACCTTTTCACAGAAAAATATTTCAGTTAGACTTGAATATGAGACTCCAAGCCAAACCATGAAATACGAAGGATAATGACCTCGTTGAACCCTCGGAATACGCGTGCTGGCTTCTGCACTGCTGTGGGCGTACACCTTATCATTTTGTTTATTATAACTTTCTTCGATGTTAAATTTTTTTTCATCCGAAAACTAAATTTCGCGGCATTTTTTTTCTCGCGTACCGCCGAAACAAAGCGCGGCATCTATCCAGCCTAATTTTTTTCAAACGCTCGTTTTAAAATTGTCCGGTCTTCTTACGATAAGCTCATAGTCCTAGGTCTTCATTGATCACTCTTTTGACCGTGGTTCTGCTTAGCTCCATCTGAAGAGCTAAGATTTTTTGTTTACGAATAGGATTTCGTTGGATTCGCTGCTTCTCTGTTTTGATGATCGCAGGTGTCTTAACTCTACGAGGTCAGTCGGTTAATTGTGGGGTTATTTTCAATTTTTGTAGAATATTAAAAATCTCTTTTGGCACGTAACCACAGCGGTGCAACGCGATAACCGCTACTCTATCTTCTTTCTTCGACCACTCCATATTTGAAATTTATTTTCGGCAAGTGCAAACGTTGTATTTTGAAAATTTGTGAAATTCATCTAGCTAGTATTCAAAAATTTTAAATAATAAGGTTTTGATAGAACTTAATATGACCCGACTAAGTATTATTCTTTTAACCGATTTTTTAAATACTAGCAAAGCTATTAACATTACTAATATTCCCTTCAATCACTCCAGGTAAGCTTAAAATGCTTTTGTTAGGAGTGGTTCACGACAGTAGTCGAATGTTGGATTGGAATTTGGAAACCACTACCTTTTGAGTTAGCGGTCCGCACCTTGCCATTAGGCTAGTGTCGCGTTTTGTATACTCGGTATACTGCATATTATATACTTAGAATTAGGAACTAAATACATCGAAATAAGGATTTTTACATCGGAATAAGCTCTCTCTGACTTCGTTTCCTATTAAATAATTAAGAATACAAATCAAGTTCTAATAGACTAACCTATATTATATTTCAATAGTAGAAACAAAAATGGTTCTGATAGTAATAGGTAAACCTTCAAAAAGGTAATAAATGCTTAATTTTGGATCTCCATTTAAGATTTAGTAAAAACACCGCGAAAACAGGTTACCTTGTCGTGAAGCGACAATTAAGAACAAAAAAGAACCTAACCTAGTAACAGCAAAACAACGAAAATAGAACAAAAACAAATAATATATTTAAGATTCAAAAGATATTTACAATTTTATGTAACAAAATGGAGTATGAAAATGAGGATGGATGTCGTGATTTACAAATTATTTAAAAAAAGATAATAAAAAAAGAGATTAGTGTCGAAGCTGAGCCCGAAGATCCAAGGTGTACAGCAAGTGCTCTCAGCGCCTGGAACGAGCACGCACGGCGTAGGTGAGAAGGCGTGGGCGTCTCTAGGCGACGACCTCAGGTGAATGCGGTGGCTTGCAAGATCCGGTGATTTCAGGCAAGACAGGGGCTTGCAGGATCCTCAGCGACTTCAGACAGGACAGAGGCCTGCAGGATCCGGTGACTTCAGGCGGGACAGAGATGTGCAGGATCCGGCGACTTCAGGCAGAGCAGAGACTTGTAGGATCCCGGCGACTTCAGGCAGAGCAAAGGCTTGTAGGATCCGGCGACTTCAGGCAGAGCAGAGGTTTGTAGGATCCGGCGACTTCAGGCAGAGCAGAGGTTTGTAGGGTCCAGCGGCTTCAGGCAGGACAGAGGCTTGCAGGATCCCGGGGCAGTGCGGCCCCGGGATAAGGCCTTTAGGAGATGCTTCGAATTCGAGAACTGAAGCGAGACTCAATTTCTTCACCGATTGTTCGGCTTTTATACCTTTCTAGAGAGAACGGAAAAATTATTTAAATTAAACGCAAATTTTTTGTAAATGGCGAAGAGGAAAGAGTATTTATGTGGAATTATCGAAGTAGAAACAACAGACCGGTAGCAAATTTGAATATAATTGCCATGACGACCAGATAAACAACGATGTCAAAACATGTCAAATTTTGGTTTTAGGCTCGTAATAGAAAAACGGCAAGATTTAAGTGAAAAATGAGATATTATTGATATAGGAAAAAAGGTAGCGCACCTGCGCGCACAAAGTCCGAAATTGCAGAGTTACGGAAAACTAAATAAAAGATCGAAAAATGTAGACTCCATTGACACCAATTTAAAAGTGCTGATAATGTGAAAATACGAAGTAGAAATGATTTGTTATTGTGTTCTTATGGTTTAAAATCGTTACAGGATCCTATGGAAATAAACTTATGTAAAATATTTGTGATGTAAAATATACAGTTTTGAAGTGAATGCAGAAAATCGAAACAGAATGGAAAAATGAATTTAAAATAATGTAAAATGATATGTAAGTAGCATAACACCTTAAATAAAAAATACTTAAATAAGTAAAAAGCCAACCAAATGGAAGCCCTCGGCAGGGCAGACGAAACGGCCGTGAGTTAGGGATAAAGGGAAAAAAACCGACGGACGATGCGTGCGGTATGGAGGAGCACCGCCTTCTGCATTTGTGCCCAGAGCTGTCTGTCACAGAGTCCCAGTCGCCTCAGATGACCTGACTGACCAGTATTAGCTCGTTCGCAGAAACGACTACAGGTATAATTTCGGTTGCAAGACCACCAAACACGTCAGTCACCTTGTGACCCAAGTCCAGAAGGGCCAAGCCGAAACAGATAAGCGAACAAAAATTTCGCTTGTCTGTTTCGACTTTCACGAGGTTCTTATCATACGAAATGGTAACTTCGACCAAGAACATATTCACTGTGCCCGGTCCATCAGCACAATATTAGGCTTATTCGCAAGAATAGTCTTGACTGTGATGATGCCCAATCACAGTAAACTATCGCAGTCATTTTATTTTATTCATAGTGTTTCAGAGCGAGCTCTTGGTGTAGAATCCTGGCTACTAGGTTGTATCTGTGCAAATACTCAGTTACATAGTGCCGAACAACCGGAGAAGACATGCCCAAGTGACTCACCGGGATGGCGACAAACTGGACAGATGTGAATAGTGTCCTCCCTTAGGATGGATCTCAGATGGTTGTTGGTCATGATAACCTGATCTTGTATCGCACAGACAAAACCCTCGGTTTACTCAAAGAGGTCACGAAAAGGTAGCCAGTAGAGGTAGGCAACTGTGTCTACTAAAGGGTCATGTAGAGCCTTGTAGAACCTCCCGTAGAGCTTCTTCTCCTTCGATACGGTTTCCATGTCGTAAAATGCTATATACCGCCGGGTCTTGCTATTGCTCGTTGGCTAAGGATAGAGGGCCCTTTATCGCAAGACATAACGTTTTTATAGAATGGATCATCCCATCCCGTCAGGAAGTAATTACGGCGGCTACACACTACACACTTCGCTTCGATTATGCATGTTGAGCGCGCTTGAACGTTGCTTGAACATTGAACGTGAAAAGCCATCATGTTTCCGCGGCAAGTATAGCCTCATTAGCGACGATATCGGATAGTGCATAGTGATATCATGATAGGGCGGACTTTTCTATCCAGGCCCTTAAGTTCAGTTTGAGTCCACCTGAGAATGCCAAAGTTATACATGAGGACAGGCTTGACCCAACCGTGTGTCTTGCCTGTCATTCAACAAAGACAAAACTCATCGAAAACTAACTGCTACATAACCGCCTCATCCATACCTATGTTTTGTGACATACCTAAGTATCTGTTTGTTTCAGCCACAGAAAGGATCTTTATGTTGTATGGCATAAAACTCTATGCCTTCAGAATATGCGACCCTACCTCTTTCAAAATGTAGTACCGCACACTTATCTGTCCCCAGCACAATTTTTTAGAATTGTTAAAATTACACGGGATGTTTAGTAATTCCGTAAGATGGGAGCGACTGGAGGCGAATAACTTGAGATCATCCATACAGAAAAGGCGGGTCACTTTTGTCTCTCCTTTTCGATGCTTAAATCCCCTCTTTGATCGCTCCAATTAGGTACTGAGAGGGTTCAGAGTGAGACAGAACCATATTGGACTCAAACAATCACTCTGGAAGATACCCCTTCTTATCCTTATTCGGTTTCCCCCTTCCTTCATCCGCTGGTCTAAATGAAAAAGGAATTACAAAGAATGAGAAAAGACGATTATTATAAATTGCCTCATAAGAGGGATATTTGCCATTGCTGTCACGCTGCGCAAGCAAATTGGCAACTGCATTTTTTTAAATTGTAGTCATTATTAGGAAGATGCTGCTGCCCATCTCCTTGTTTCCCTCTGTTGCCTCTTACGACACCCACGGGATTATGTGGGGTAGTGGATATTCTTACACGGCCACTACAATTAACTATTTTTTTTTTTCAAAATCTATAAATTTGGATTGATCCTAGCTGGCCATGCTTTAAAGCCTTCGATAATTATAAATTAAGCGACGTAAATTCGGTGTACCTCAAATTGAATAGGATTTCCAAAATAAATACAAAGACAAAAATAGTGTTCTAATCTTTATTATTTTATACCTTGTTAACTACATAAATATATATATATAGTTAGGTGAGATGAAAAAAAATTTTACAAATTAATAAAGAAATTAAGTGTTATTTTTGATTTCGTCTCATTCATTTGTTTTTAGTTTCATGAACTGGTTGTGGAAAAAAAGCGCTGAATTGTAGAACGCATCAAATTGTGAACTCTGGTTGTCACACTTCGGGTCTTTCCACGCCCAGAGATTAACAAAATCAATATTCTCGCAATTGCACAATGGATTGCTAAAAATGAAAAAAATCATATTAAACAATATTATATAGGATACATTTCAGAGAGTGTTTGTAGGAGTTACATGATTTAACTTCCCTCTCGGACAACTAGACACTTGTCGAGTCTTCACTCTTTTGCTGTTGAATTGCATGAATTCGATGTAAATAGTTTGCTGCGTCTTTCGTAAAGGACGTGGAATAAGTTGCAAACGTCTGCCTTTATGGATCTGGGATCGATAGTGTAATTTAATACCTAATGCTTCGTCACCACTTACTACTAGATGAGGGTGCAGCCAGCACTGCTTTATTTACACACACCAGTTCAGATGAACATCATTGCTGAACCCTTAGTCCTCCCTCAGCAGAGAGATACCTAATCGTTACGCTTTGGATTAATGATCCAGTAGCAGATTGCTCAAATTTTCATGTGATCTTGCCCTTGATCTGAATAAACTCGACATAATAATAACATTATCAATCAGAGACCAAAATTTTTTCAGACTTTCCCACTAGTTGACATCCACAAGATGAGACAAGGAATTTTTAAGCCACCAACACACAGTGTTCTTCATATTATTTTTAAACTACATATACATATTTTACAAGAAATTTTATAAAAAATTTCATAGATTACTAAAATAATAATTGTTTAGGGTGTACGTACTTTGGGTTTATCCTGTAGAACGCTTGACGTTGTATATGGGTCACTTTATCGCCTACGTCACATAACAAGCGCGCCACCGTGGCTTTCCTTATCTCCTGCAGTTGTTCTATTGTAAATAAGAAAACTTTTCATTAGTAATTTCATAGGTAATAATTAAAAAACAAACAAACGTAATTATTTTGACAAAAATTAGAAAAATAAAAAGAATAAATAAGAATAATGATAATTTCGGTGCGATGTCAAACGGATGCCGCTGGATAGTCACCGCGCTGGTTTGTAGTCAGGAAAGTTACTGTCGGAAAAGGATAAGGTACGACGAAAATCAACAAAAGATAATATTACAATATGAATATAACAGTTATTTGTACGTGGTAGAGCCATACTGCAGCTATCTTAGTTGTGTAGTTGTAGCATGAATGGGTCGGCTCGACCGGGGAAGGACCACGCTCTCACAGAATACCAGCGTAAAATAGCAGTTTAATACTGCTGTTTTTAGTATTAGTGAGTGTAGAGAACCGGAGACCCTTTTTACTGGAAATGAGGCATTCCATCTTAGTCCTCACGGGTGACGACGCATCTGCATTTTGATTCGTAATCAATGATCGATGTAGATGTCTATGGGCTACAGCAACCACTTACCATCAGGTGGAGCGTGTACTCGCTTGTCAATTTTATTCTATAAAAAAAAATTATGAAAATGCTTCGATATTTTTTACTTAATCAAGTTTAAACGGTTTACATGTCGGGGCTTAAAGACACGGGTCATTTTTAGGTACTTGGGGAAAATAAGAGTTATGGCGAGAAAAAGTACATGGAGGTGTTTCTACTGGCACTACCAAGATACACTACTTAACAGTTCAGTTTTACGCAGCCGCAACTTGGTTCTTGTCATAGGTTATCACCTGCATCTGCATTTCAATTCTAATTTAGGATAGATTCAACATCTATCTAAGGGCCACACATTCACTTACTATCAGTTGTACTGTGTGCTTGTTTGTTAACTTAATCCTTTCAAGAAATATGGTTCATAGATATATAAAAAAAAAACATGAGATAAATGTACAAACAAGCTGTTGTAGTTTTCTCACATATATATTAATCATATACCTATCTATGATCATATGAATACATTTAAAAAAATGTAATCTCTATTGTCCTTAATATACTGATCTATATTAGGTCGTCATCATTCTTCGTTTTTCAGGTGCATACGTTCAGTAATGTTATTTTGGTGAACTTGAATAAATAGATTACAATAAACCGTAACACTAACCATATGAAAATGCGTTCGGTCGGTGTGGACGCTCATACCAATGTCTGTCTGACGCTAGAACCCTGAGCAATTGTTCCACTACAATACAGTACAAAGTAGGTGGTACTTGACCGCCCTCGATCAGTCTCTCGAGCCATATTCCAGCCATTAGATCTATGTCTTCCACATTCTCATACACCTCTTTGAGCAGTTCGACTCTCTGAAACACACTCAATTTTATTTTATTCTTGTAATCTGTTATGATAATTCTTTAATTATTATTCTTTATTTTTGTGATGTGCTATATTAATATTATATGATAAGGACATTGTACTTGGTTTCGTATGCTTCGAGCAACGAGCTAAGAGGCAACTATGAATGAACTAGGGAGAAATCTTGTGCTGCTATTGTTAATCTGCTGCAACGGAAAAGGTCTACGTTTAGCAGTGGTCTTCTAATAAAATGATGATAATGAAGAAGAAGATAATGAATATAAACAACAGCATAATTTTAAACAAGCAAGTGATGATGGTTTCTTGGTAGATTTAAAATATAGCGATAAGTTTTGAAGATTATCAAAAAGTCGCAATAACAGAATAGGAAGTTGTATATTACACCAACTGCTGTATTATGAGCACTACATCACTATGTTGATAATCGATTATTTACATTGATTCATCAATATCATCATTACAGCCCATCACAAGTCCACTGCTGAACATAGGCCTCCCCCCAAGGAATGCCACATAGCACGGTCCGGAGCCACCTGCATCCATCGACTTCCTGCACATCTCACCAGGTCTTCACTCTATCGAGTGGGGGGACGCCCAACACTTCGCCTGCCGGTACGAGGCTGCCACTCGAGAACCTTTTTTCCACATCGGTTGTCGGTTCTTCGAGCTATATGGCCGGCCCATTGCCACTTCAGCTTACTATTCCGTTGGGCTATGTCGGTCACTCTGGTTCTACTGCGGATATCCTCATTTCTCAGTTTATCACGCAGAGAAACTCCGAGCATAGCCCTCTACATAGCTCGCTGAGCGACCTTGAGCTTCCTCATCCGGCCAGCAGTGAAGGACCACGTCTCAGTTCCGTATGTCATCACTGGCAACACGCACTGGTTGTACAGTCTCGTTTTCAAGTTTTGAGGTATACCTGACGAGAAGATGTGCCGTAATTTCCCGAACGCCCAACCGAGTTGAATCCGTCGATTGACCTCTCGGTCGAAGTTGGACTCACCTAGTCGGACTATTTGTCCCAGGTAAACATACTCGTCAACAACTTCTAGCTTAGTGCTCCCAACATCTACCGGCATAGGTGTGACATGGACATTAAACATGATCTTTGTTTTGTCCATGTTCATCTTAAGACCTATCCGTTGGGAAACACTATTGAGGTCATTGCGCATAGTGCTTAGGTCCTCCAGCGATTCTAACATAAGGACTATATCGTCGGCAAATCGTAGGTGAGTGATGTACTCGCCATTGATGTTGATACCGTATCCTTTCCAGTCCAGAAGCTTGAAAACGTCTTCCAATGCAGCGGTGAAAAGTTTCGGGGACATGACGTCACCCTGTCTTACACCTCTGCAATTGGATAGGTTTCGTACTCTGGTTCTGTACTCGGATAGCCATCGTAGCTCTGCTCTACAAGCACTTCAGCACATCGATATACCGACAGTCAACTTGGCACCGCTGAAGGGACTGCAGCACCGCCCAAATTTCGACGGAATCAAAGGCTTTCTCATAGTCCACATACGCCAGACATAGTGGCAAATTGTACTCCTCTGACTTCTGTACAATTTGCCGAAGGGTATGTATGTGGTCTATGGTGCTAAAGCCTGTTCGGAAACCGGCTTGTTCGGGAGGCTGGAAGTCGTCAAGTCTGCGCCCAAGACGTTTCGTAATGACTCTCGAAAACAGCACGTAGACGCGGCTCAGAAGGGAAATCGGTCTGTAGTTCTTCAAGAGAGCGTTGTCGCCTTTCTTGAAGAACAAGACCACCGCACTTCTGCTCCACGCCTCCGGTGTAATGCCACCATGGAGGACGGAATTAAAGAGCCTCTGAAGGACTTCAAGTACCGGTTTTCCAACCGCTTTCAGAAGCTCCGCTGTAATTCCATCCTCACCTGGGGCTTTGCCGTTTTTAAGATGCTGGAGAGCCATTATAATCTCGCTCAGACTGACGTCCGGGATATTATCGGAATAATGTCAGATAAGACTCGCTCTTGGATCGTTACTCACACTTGCGTGTGGCTCCAACGATGACGTGTACGGCTGCCCGTAGAACTTCTCAATCTCACTCAAAATCTCAGGTGCCCCGGAAACGATGCTGCCACATTCTGTCTTCAGCTTTGACAGTTGGCTCTTTCTGGCAGACAGATCTCTGGCAAAGACTTTGGAGCCTTGGTTCTGCTCGATCGCTTCTTCAATACGAGCTGTATTGAAGTTGCGTAAGTCCCGCCGCATGCATTTGGAGATCTGTCTGTTCAGTTGCCTGTATGCTGTCAAATCTGTTGAAGAATGTAGCTTCATCTCCAGTCTAACAACCATGAGATTAAGAGTGTGATCGGAGAGTTTTTGTGTTCTTCTGCGGCGGGTCTTGTAGAACTTAGCTCCGACTGCATGGACAGTTTCCACGAGCTTGTCATTCATATCGTCCACTTCATTGCAGTCTTCTCGGCACTGAAAACGGTTTTGTAACTCGAGCTGAAAGGTTTCGGGACTTTGAATTAGAGCATAAGGGGGACGGAGCGTTGACTTCATTAGACGAGACCTCTCCAACTTAACGTTTAGGTTCAGTGTGCCTCTAACCATTCGGTGATCGCTGCCGGTTTTCACCCTCGCGATCACTGAGACATCACTGAACAGTTGTCGTCTGGTCGTCATAATGAAGTCAATCTCATTTATTGTGGAACCGTCGGGGATCGACCAGGTCCACTTCCTGTGGGGCCGCTTCTGGAAGAAAGAGTTCATCATAAAGAGTCCCTCTTTCTCCATGAAGTTGGCCAGCTGCTGGCCCCTTGGGTTCCGTTGCCCTATTCCAAATTTCCCTACCTTCAGCTCACCATTCTCTTTTGTGCCTAGTTTTGCATTGAAGTCTCCCATTAACACCGTATATTGGGTTTTGGAGGAATGCAAGTCTCTAGAGATATCTTCATACATTTCCTCCACCTCCTCATCGGGGTGTGCCTAGGTTGGTGCGTAAACCTGTATGACCTTCAGCAAATACCGTTTGGTGATTCTGAGTATAAGGTACGCAACCCTCGTCAACACACTCTCAATCTTTACAACGTTGTTAACGAGAGACTTGTGGACGATAAATCCGACACCTCCTTGGGATAGATGGTCGCCCTCCCGGTAATAGAATAGAATAGAATAGAATAGAATAGAATGATTTTTATTCAATATGGATTATTACATAATACTTATTGAAAGTCATTATTTTATTTACCACTGGTTCGGAAAATACCTCTGTCCTGGGAAGAACCAGCAAGAAACCCAGCGGGACTTTTTTTTTTAAACATAATTTCACTTAACAATAATTTTGATTATACAATTTTAAATGAATTTTCATAGAACCAGCATGGTGGCGATCACCTTATTCCCAGGGGTTATTTTCACTCATGTATTCCTTGATATTATAATAACCCTTTTTGTACAGTTTTTCTTTAATAAAACTTTTAAACTTGTTTATTGACAAACTTTGAACATGTTCTGGGATTCTGTTGTAAAAGCGTATACATTGCCCCATAAATGAATTACTAATTCTGTGGAGTCTTGTAAGTGGCATTACAAGCTTATGTTTGTTCCTAGTGTTTAAGGTATGAACATCCTTATTCTTATTAAAGCTATTTATGTTTTTATGTACATACATTACATTTTCATAAATATATTGCGATGCCAAAGTTAATATGTTTATTTCTTTAAATTTTTCTCTAAGGGACTCTTTACAATTTAGATTATAAATCGCCCGTACGGCTCTCTTTTGCAAAACAAATATAGCTTCAATATCAGTCGCATTACCCCATAGCAAAATTCCATAAGACATTACGCTATGAAAGTAACTAAAATACACTAACCTAGCTGTCTCAACATCTGTGAGACTTCTAATCTTTCTTACAGCATATGCTGCAGAACTAAGTCTGCTTGCTAATTTAGATATATGGGGGCCCCATTGAAGTTTCGCGTCAATAGTAATACCGAGAAAAACAGTGGTATCCACAAGACTCAACTCCTCCCCATTTAAGAGCACATTGGTTTTCGAATGTTTTACATTAGGTATTGTAAATTTAATACATTTTGTCTTATTGCCGTTTAAGAGCAAATTGTTGACGTTAAACCAATGTACTAGTTTCGATAGAGCATTATTTACATCGTCATATTTAATTGACTGCCGTTTCAGTTTGAAAATTAAAGAGGTATCGTCAGCAAATAATACTATATCGTGATTGTCCCCTACAAGATAAGGTAAGTCATTAATATAGATTAAGAACAGGAATGGGCCAAGAATCGAGCCCTGAGGAACGCCCATTGATACTACCGATCCGGAGGAACATTTACCATTAATGACGACTTTTTGAGTTCTGTTATTTAAATATGAAGTAATAAGTTTAAGCGCCAAATTTTTTACACCGTAATGTTGTAGTTTCCTGATTAATGTATCATGATGAACACAATCGAAAGCCTTGGAAAGGTCACAGAAAATACCTAAGGCATCTTGTGAATTCTCCCAGGCATTAAAAATATATTTCATAAGCTCAACACCGGCGTCAGACGTCGAGCGACCCCTTGTAAAACCAAATTGATTTTTATGAAGTAATTTATTTGTATTAAAAAAAATTAACAATTGATCCAAAATTATTTTTTCAAAAATTTTACTGAGAGTTGGTAGTACAGAAATAGGTCTATAATTAGCGGGGTCCAATGTACTACCAGATTTAAATAAAGGTATTACTTTACTATACTTCATTAAATCAGGAAACACACCAGAATCGATACAAGTATTAAAAATAATAGCAAGATGAGGTGCAATTAAATCTATTATGGACGTAATCACTGTAACGGAAATCCCCCACAAATCTGCGGTTTTCTTTACATCAATGGTTTTGAAGTATTTTACAATATTATGCGGTAATACTTTTTCAAATCTAAATTCTTTTAAACAGGTATTAACATTCTGTTTAAGTAATGATTCGGCGACAGTTGGAGAAGCATTCAATGACTCTGTTGTCAAGATAGGAACATCAGTGAAATATTTCTCAAACACCGCTGCAACTTCTTGATTTGATTTAGTCAATTCATTATTAATTTTTAATTGATAGTTTGAATTACGAGGTTTCTCATTACCGGTTTCGCTGTTAATTATACTCCACGTCATTTTAATTTTATTCTTAGCTGTCTTAATTTTGTTACTAATATGTAATGATTTGGCTGTGGAGCAAACTCTTTTAAACATTTTAGAATAATTTTTTACATATTCTTTAAAAGCATCGGAAAGATTATACGATCTTTCATGGTAAAGGTCATATAACCTTCGTCTGCTTTTATGAATTCCTACTGTCGCCCACTCATTAAATGCCTTGCGACTGTTTCTGGAGAATGTTTTAGAAGTGAATGTTTTATTAAATTCATTGTTTATAAAGGTAAATAATTCTCTATATAAATAGTCTGCATTGTTCTTATAAGAAAGGGATGGAAGGATTTTTAACATATTACTTCTAAATCTCTCCAGGCGTTTTGCATTAATAGGAACAAACACAATTTTCTCATTTACCTGTTTTTTGTGCATATAAGGTAACGAAACCAGTTGTCCACAGTGACATTCGGTTGATTCAAACAACATTCGGTGATCGCTGCCGGTTTTCACCCTCGCGATCACTGAGACATCACTGAACAGTTGTCGTCTGGTCGTCATAATGAAGTCAATCTCATTTATTGTGGAACCGTCGGGGATCGACCAGGTCCACTTCCTGTGGGGCCGCTTCTGGAAGAAAGAGTTCATCATAAAGAGTCCCTCTTTCTCCATGAAGTTGGCCAGCTGCTGGCCCCTTGGGTTCCGTTGCCCTATTCCAAATTTCCCTACCTTCAGCTCACCATTCTCTTTTGTGCCTAGTATTGCATTGAAGTCTCCCATTAACACCGTATATTGGGTTTTGGAGGAATGCAAGTCTCTAGAGATATCTTCATACATTTCCTCCACCTCCTCATCGGGGTGTGCCTAGGTTGGTGCGTAAACCTGTATGACCTTCAGCGAATACCGTTTGGTGATTCTGAGTATAAGGTACGCAACCCTCGTCAACACACTCTCAATCTTTACAACGTTGTTAACGAGAGACTTGTGGACGATAAATCCGACACCTCCTTGGGATAGATGGTCGCCCTCCCGGTAATAGAACAAGTTGCCGGATTCGAGGATTACCGTTTCCTCCCCCTCTCTTCGGACTTCAGATAATCCTATAATATGCCAGCGTAACTTGTCTATCTCTTCTTCCAGCTCCACAATCTTCTCGTCAGTCCTCCGGGTGCGTGCGTTGTATGTTGCCAGGTCGAGTCGTCGTAGGTGGCAACCGAACCTCCACCGGAGATTCTTAGCACCCCCTGCCCCGCCGTTACCATGGTTATCATGGCTTACATTGATTATTAATAATTTATCTGAACTTTATAAATCTATGTTGAAAATAATGTTTTCAATTTAGCCTGGTCTAAGCTTAAATATTGTAGTTTTACAGGATTTGAATAAATGATTAATAATCAAATGTAAAAATATACGAATAAATAATTACCAAGTATTAGTGTAATATGTGTGTACCTACCTCTGGATCAATAGCATGAAGTAAGTCATCAAATGTTTTGAACGATTGTTTGAAACAAAATTCTCTGTATTTAATATACGGCTGGAAACCAAAGTACCGGTTCTTCGCCAAATCGTTCGTTAAAATATCTGAAGCGCGTTGGTGTGCACCTAGACCCACTTCTACGACCTGAAACCCAGATTTATTTTAAAATGTCATTGATTAATGATAACAAGACTTCGTAAAAATAAAATAGAATAAAAGTTAGCTCTGAACAGAATAATGTTATCTCAGTAATATAAGGTGAAGACCATGTCTTCCATCATTTTCTTAAAATATAAAGTGATACTGACGATTACGCTTACGTATTAGGGAGTTAAGAGTTATTTCCAAAGAGTGTTCTCTGATTTAATCTAAAATATATTTCAAATAGTACCTTTGTTCAAAACAAGGCGTAAAGAGGACCCTTCTAATTTTTGACCAGTTATACTTTTACTGTGTTCAGTAAAATGTTTGTATAAACAATGTTGAATTAAATAACTACGTAATTCAACATCAATTATTTGTTACATAAAAAGCAATATGACTTTTCAAAATGAAGATCGACATCTAACGCTGGTTTTTGTTCTGTCTTCGATGCATTCACGAAATTCGATAGGTATTTTTGCGATTTATCCAAATCGTTATATTTTGTTGACTACGCTACATCACTTCTGAAATAAAACCACTATGGTGTTGAGGATTTGGCTCTCATATTTATCGTGTCATATCTCAGCGAATAAACTTAGATAGTTGAAGTCAAATGTGTGCAGTCATAAAATTCCAAAATAAAAGTTGGCATTCCGCAAGGCTCGATCACAGGACCATTTCAGTGCCCGTGAGATTAAAATTACTAAAATGAAACTATGTGACATTGTATTATTTGTCGACACTAGTTTTTAAGTTGGAGGGGGAAAAACACAATTTTGCAATTTATGCAAAAAAGAAACCAAATATACCGAATTATGTTTGGCAATTTTGAAGGTCACTGACGTTAATATCATTTTAAATTACACCAAATTGGATATTGTTCAATCCACATTTTTTTCCACAATTACTCTAGATAATAAACTGCATTGGAATCGTCACATAGCTTCAACTAACAAAAAAGTTCAGCTGCTTTCGCCATAAGAAAAATTAAGCAGTTAACACACATTGGTACTGCAAGACTGATCTACTTTATTTATTTTTATAGTCTATAGTTATATGCAATACCTTCGTGGGGCAAATCATTAGACATCGAATTTGTATTTGTAATTCAGAAAAAGCTATACGATTAAAATTCAAAAGAGTCTCAGAGAACTATTTAAAAAAATCGACATGTTGACTGGAGCATCACAATACATCTATTCAAACATTAATTAAAGTTACAGCCTATATACGTCCCACTACTGGGCATAGGCCTCCTCTCATTTGTGAGAAGGTTTTACTTCGGCGAATGTCACATATCTTCGAAATTCTTTTTTTTATTTCTCAGACATGCAGGTTTCCTCACGATGTTTTCCTTCACCACCGAGGAAGTGGTAAATCAGCACTTAAAATTGCAATTAACAATTTCATTGGTTCGCGTTAAGAAGAATTTAAGTAACTCCTTTGCAGGACAAAGTAGGATTTTTCAAGTACCGTAAACTTATCATTAAAAATTAAAAAAATACAAAACACTTGTAAAGAAAGCATATTATACTGTCAATACCTTAATAGTAATAACCTTATAAAGATACTTGGTATTAATGTCTTCCATTTAACACATACAATGTCATTAAAAAGACGGAAAATTTTATAACTTATACTGAACAGATATTCGCCAAAGATGTAGTTTGTCTTAGCGGTTTTCTCTGAACGAGTATATCTTAACCTTGTCTTAACCCTAAGTGACAATTATTATAATATTATGCCGACGTTCATAAGTGTTTAATGTACGAAAATAAATTTGACCTTTCCTGTCTGGGAGTCTATTTGAGTCGATACTACTTTCTTGCCTATTTCTGTTCAGTTCCCGCATATCGATAGGTAAGTAATGTAGTATAATATCAAGCTATAAGACATATCGTCTACGAAGGCAACAACGCGATTGTAGCCTTTACATATAAAGTTTAAACGTTGTTTGTTGCGGACGTTCATAGACTGCAATAGCCTACTTACTTTGCTTGTTTGTTTCTCAAATATTACCTACATAAAAATTTAATAACTTATCGTAATGTTTTACATCTTCTAATTATTGTAATGTAAGAATATCAAATTTAACAACAGAAAACATCGACAACCCTTCAGCCGATTACGAAGAAAATTTTGTGACAGTAAAAATCTGAAATAATGCAACACTTGCCGGACACAGCCAGTATATTCTAAATACAATATTAAAATATTTTCTACTTACGTCAGGATCGACGATATAGTCTGCCTTAGCCGCTGCTTGCCTAAAGTTTCCTTGCGTTACATAATCCATATTGTCGCCCACACCGAAGAACCCAGTCCTTAGAGTCATGTTTACAATTGGAACTTTTTTCAAATAGTTGCCCTGGGTGTCGTATAAGCTAAAAATAATTCTGTATTAACCAGAGTCATTGAACCGTAGCAAGAGGGCAGCTTAAAATGTTGTCTCGTTGGTGTCGTAAGACGCTACTATGGGTTATGACAGAAAGCTGTATGTCTTCCAATAGAGGAATCTCGTTTATTCCAGGTATAATATACCTGGCGCTGCATCAATACACCTGCTAAGAAAAAATAAGGCCTACCCACAAAGGGATTATTATACTTTAAACGTAACGTCAATGCTACGTTGGTCTAGTGGTTATTTACGCGACTGATGACCATGCGGTACTGGATTTGAATCCTGGATCGGTCAACAAAAACAAGTTATTGAGTTTATTTGTCAAGACATTCTCAGGAGCAGCCCGGAGTGAGAAAGTTGGCGGTGTTTCAACCATGCCTCGGAAAACACGTGAAGCCAATGGTACTGCACCTGATGTCTGATCTCTCCGGACGTGTCAATTTACCGTCCCATGGAACTATGAGAATGAGGGAACAGAGAGTGCACCTGTATATATATACACTCGGAAACTATAATTCTGTCATGTGCAGATGGCTATTCTCCTTTGAGATTGGCCGCTATGACCGAAATTCATTCTGGAGAATTATTTACATTTCGTAATATAATTAAACGATTGATAAGATAAATCACTTAACATCAAAATAGTTTGATTATTATCAACAGGTGAACAACAATTTTTGCGTGTAATGGTTACAGGTTGTACAGTCATGTTGTAGAACGTAGTCTAAATCTGTAACAGGATACCACCGAGAATCAACCGCTTAATACTGCTGTCTTTCGTATTGTGAGTGCAGAGAACTGGAGACCCCTTTTACTGGTAACGAGGCATTCATCGTAGTTCTCAGAGGAGGGAACGCATGTGCATTTCGATTGTTAAATAGAGGATATATATTATTATCTCTAGAATGCATAACCAATTTATCATCGGTAAAAAAGTGCAGGTGCTGCTGAAACAGCACACACATGCGTCACCCGTGTCAATGTGTATGTAATTCTCGTGAAATACGATAACGACAGCCACCGGCGCGACGGCAGCCTGTAAGCGAGTAGTTCAGTTCCTTTTTGAGTGTACTAGATGAACACGTGTCTCGGGTTCGATAAAATAAATCGACTTCAACCAGTAATGTGAACAGTTTAATCATATTCCTCCATACACAAGCTTCTATGAGCCAGGAAGTAACACAACATTGGTGAATCCCGAGTTAGGCCTTGTGTAGGAGCGAAAGTGATACACGTCGTGAGGCAAAGCTCGCAAATGCTTGATGTAATTTGTTGTAAATATTTTTGTGGATATTTGTAAAATTAGCGTCACCATAAAAATATCTGAAAAAGAACCCCACGCTTTTTTACAATAAAGTGAATTTTTATGTTACATAATCACTATTTTCTTATTTTAAACTTATTGAAAATTATTTTCAACTTATTAGTTCGGTTATCTACAAAAGCGTGTTTTTTTTTTGTTTTTTGAAACTGTTATTTTTTCTTTTAAAAAATAACTTTGTCTTATGTGTATCCAACCTAATAATTAGCAATACCTAATATAACTTACTTCATATTTCCTTCCTGCGTTGTATGGAACCAACGAAGAACATATGGGAACTCTAGCGATATTTGTGGGAAGAGATCTTCGTTGTAATTGTCTCTGAATCCAGGCGTGGGTGATAAAACTCCATCTCTAAATAGATTTTCATGACCTAAAAATCGAAGAGTAATAATACCGAATTAGTGTACTCATTTTACGCAGCGCTACGGTGCGTATATATTATATAACATAACATGTTATAAAAGGTTGTTATATAACATGTTTCTGTAATGTGGAGGTTGAATGTCATAAAACGTGTTATATAACTCAGACGGCAGAACGACAAACGACAATGTCATATAACATTATTATATCGCATTGTTATTCTAATGTGTACAGTATTGTTATATGTTGCAATGTTGAAAAACAATGTAACATAATGTGGACGGGTTATAAAACAAAAGTTACACAACATGTTACTTAATCTGTCCCTAAAATTATTTTGCTTCACTTAGAAATCATTGAATTTAAATGTTTGATTGAACTACACTAGCTATTTCTCGCGGCTTTTCTCGCGTGAAATTCATATACCCACACTACATTTGTGCCATTTGCTGTAGAGACTATCAGTCCATGGGGTCCACGTGCGGTGAAGTTCCCAAAGGAACTCCATCCGCGGCTCGTCGTTGCTGCTGGTGATAAGAGGGCTGGTTCTTTTCTCTCTCAAAGGTTAAGTATAGCCATTCAGCAGGAAAACGCAACCAGCGTTCTATACAGCGGGTAGTAGGACTATAATATGCTAATTAAGTTTCTAGTTTTAGTTTTTTTTAATTATTATTATAGTTTTCAACATTGTATATAATAAAAAAAAATTAGATTCATATCAAGAAGATACTCCTGCCCATCTCCAGTTTCAGTTTCCCTCCGTCTCTCTCTAAAGATTTGGGATAGTGGGCACTTGACATCGCTACTACAGTTACCGATACTGATACGGCCTGATGAAGAAGAAGAATATTAAAAATATTTAAAGTAATCTTACCAAAATATACAGGCAATAGTTCATAGAAGAATATTTGCGAAAAGATAGCAATATTTATATCACGAGCCGTGTAGAACAACTTGTCGTCGTTCCAGCAAGGATTGACCTTAGACAGTCCAGTGGCAATGAAATTATGAAGTCTCCAAAACCAAACGCTTAACAAATTAACTCCCGCTAAACTGTTTGCACCGTCTTCAGCTGAAACATTTTTATATTGCAAAAAAAATCAAGCATACATAACGTTAGGCCTATACGCACAAACCAAAATGGGACAAAAATAAATCAGAAGACAATTTTACTAAACTGCAATGTTAACTACGATTAATGATTTCCTCTTTTTTTTATATTCTACTAAGCCCACGCTTATCTACGATCCCACCTTTTTTTTATAGGATAAGGGTGACAAACGAGCACACAGTCCACCTGATGGTAAGTGGTTGCTGCGGCCCAAAGACATCTACATCTATCCTCGTTTGCGAATCAAAATGCAGATGCGTTGCCACCCGTGAGGACTAATATGGAATGCCTCATTCCCAGTAATAAGGGCCTCCGGCCACCTGCACTCACCAAGCGAAACGCAGAGGTAAACCTCTACTTCACGTTGGTATTCTGTGAGGTCGTGGTACCACCCCGGTTCGAGCCGGCCCATCCGTGCGACAGTAAAGCTGCCGCGTGGCTCTACCACTGTTATACCTGATGGTAAGTGGTGATGTAGCCTAAGATTCTGAAGCGCATTGACTTGACAAAAGCCTATTCACTCTTGCCTTGAAGACACCCACACTGTAATACTTTAATTTGCCTCAACAACACTTTGGTTAGGTCATTGATTTAAAATGGATGGGAGTTGGTATGGACACTTATACTAAAAATTATAAAACAGTTAAATACGCCGTTAAATATTTTTCAATTTGTCGTCATGACATTATAATAATGATAGGATGATCGTATGGTCAATTAAGTAGGTAAATTCAGTTAAATTGTAACAAATAAAAATAATAAACTTCATTGCATTGAATAAAGTTGTAGGAATAAAAATTTAACACTTCGACAATAAAACTATAAGTTATTTATTGACTTTATCATGAAAGATATTTTTCTTACGTGTATTATGACATCGGGTTTCCTGCGGTTTTTGGTTCAAGAAGCATACACCCCCTCCTGTTTTTATACTAGGTGGCCAGATTCTGTCGTTGTCCACTTCATATTTCAACAGCCCACCTTGGAACAGGCGGCCTTTCTCCAATAATGATTTTAATGTACTGCCATATACTGTTGATAGATCAAATGTCGGTGTTGCCGATATAATCTGTGAAATTAAGAAAATTAATATCGTTTCCATTTGAAATTGTTTAAAATATTTACATGTTCAATAATAAGGAACAGACGAAGTTGCCATCAGGTAAAATCAAGTCGAATTCCATTTCTTGCAGCTAATAGGATTTCTAGCTATGTTTAACATAATATTGACCATGTTTCTTTTAATTAAACTAACAACGGCGGATTTTTCCCATTGTCGCATAATAGCCATTTACGCTTGGCATTGATACATGATATCCATGCTTGTCATCCATGCTTGGTATCCATGCTTGCATGCTTGTTATTAGGAAGGCGCTGCTCCACATCTTTTTTTTTATAGGATAGGGTAACAAACGAGCACACAGTCCACCTGATGGTAAGTGATTGGCCCATAGACATCTACATCTATCCTCGCTTGCGAATCAAAATGCAGATGCGTTGTCACCCGTCAGGACTAAGATGGAATGCCTCTTTTCCAGTAAAAAGGGTCTCCAGTTCTCTACACTCACCATACAATACACAGCAGTTTTAAGCTGCTGTTTTACGCTGGTATTCTGTGTGAGCGTGGTCCTTCCCCGGTCGAGCCGACCCGTTAGTGCTACAACTATACTACTAATATAGCTGCAGCATGGCTCTACCACATCTAAAAATCTGTTTCTCTCTGTCACCTCTTACGATACCTGCGAGACGATAATATGGGGTAGTGGATATGCATACAATTCCGCCACTAGATGGTAAGAATGGATGCAGAATGGCAATCGAAGTATAGGGCAGCTTCCTACTAGATGGAGTGACGACCTAGTAAGATATGAAGTAAGTCGATGAATGCAGGTGGTTCAGAACCGTGTTACGTTACAATCCTTGGGGAAAGTATATGTTCAGCAGTGGACTTGTTATGGACCGTAATGATGATGATAATGATGATGAAAGTAACAAACGAACTAACATTCCACCTGATGGTGAAAGTATGCTGTAGTTGCGTTGTCATCTTTGTGGACTGAGATGGAAAACATAACTATACTATTTGCCCGGACAGTGAAAAAAACTTACTCATATCCAAATAGCAAAATCTATAAGGTCTGGGAAAAAGTTTCTTCGTATATTATATTCAAATTCAAGACATTTTTTTTTTCAAACTTTAATTACATTTAATTATAATACTTATTTAACTGTCATTTTGTTCGATAACTTGTTGCTATCTTGTAGGTAGTGATATATCCCGTTTCTGTAGAAATCTTGGGATTCTTGATCAAAAAAAAATGCGACAAGTAGTTTTGACAGTACTTTCTTGATGTTAACAGTACCCAAAGAATTCCAAAACAGGCAAAAATCTAAAAGGTCAAGGTCAGGACTAAATGGAAAATGCATCAACACTTCCCAACCAAGCTCCCGCAATTTTCGCTAAATAGGCAAAAATGTGTGTGGTCGTCTGACGTTATCATGATGAAATACCACTACTTTTCTGTTGATCAATTCCGTCCCTTTTTTTTTCTCAGTTTCTTGATTGAGTCTCATTATTTGTTGGCAGTAGAGATTTGAATCGATTGTTTTGTCCAGCGGTGAAAGCTCATAATAAACGATGCCCTTCCAATTCCACCATACACAGCAACACCTTATTGCGTTTCCTTATTCCAGTTTCGCTACAGTATGAGGAGTTTGACTACCCATTTTTTCCGCACTTTCTTATCGTGAGTGATCCACTTTTGATCACCAGTGATTAATCTTTTCAATAATCTGTTTTGAAATCAATCGCAAATGAGTACACGAATCATTAGGTTTCTTTTAGTGGGCTCGTGTGGTACCCAAATATCGAACTTTTTTGCATAGCCCAACTTTTAAAAATGGGTCAAAACTGTTTAAAGTCAATCTTCAATTCCTCGGTTGTGTCGTAACTACTTATACGCCGATCTTGCTCCACTTTTTCAAAAATGGATCGACTTTATCCGTATGTGAGCTACCAGAATGAGTTGCATCTTTGACATCAAAATTCCCGCTTAAACCAACTTTGTGCTACTCTTACTGACACTGCTTTAGGTACGTAAATGTCACAAACTGTTTCATGGCTTGAGTCACATTTTTCCCTTTTTTGGAATAAAACTTCAAAATGTATCGAATTTCTCTTAATTTATGTATAAATTTGAAATCACTGTGGAATAGTTTACCACCGGCGATTTTTCGGAAGCGTATAGGGACTTAGGGACCTTCAAGAAAAGAGTTAACTCCTTTCTAAAAGGCGGCAACGCACCTGCAATGCCCCTGATATTGCAGTTGTTCACGGCGGTAGTCATTTACCGTCAGTTGAGCCGTATGCTCGTTTGTCTCCTCTCTTATAAAAAAATCTTCTGTTGTTTATAGGAGAGGGGACAAACAGATAGTGCTTCCATCTGCTTGAGATCCCATAATTAAGAAAATTAAATCCCAAACCCAAGCATACAACTGCAAGACTTCATCATACTGTAAGTTCATACCGCGTAGATCGGAACCAAAATTAATAACTTTTAATCTGAAGGTAGCCGTGGTTAACTATGACATTGGGATGTCATACACCTCAGACCCCCCCCCCCCCCATGATCATGGGTGCTGAAATGTGCTCGTAACGTGGGGAATATAAAATAAGTTAATATACGCGATAAAATCCGTAAAATTAGTTTTATTTAAAAAAAATCTTCGTTAGATTCACTCATTTTAGCAGACAAAAAAACAAATGAAAACTGGCGGGAAAGTGTTTTTTACTTTTATTTTTCTTTTTCTTAATGTCCTATATATGTATTGATATTAAAATCAGCCAGATACAAACAGTACAACCAAAGAGATTTTTCTTCAATTTTATACAAACAAATACGAAGAAACTTTTTCGCCGACTTATTACTTACCCTTTCAGGAACTGTGTCATTTTTGATGCAACCGATAGATTGAAAACTTTCAGGTCTGGTCATGTTCAGACATCTTATATTGGAGAAGCGATGAACTGGATCATCGTCGGGTATTTTGTTTGGGACGCAATCTCTATCCGTCTTGCCTTTTGGTTGGCAGCAGTACGGCTTCCAAAGGATAAACTTAACTAAAAGATTAACCATATGTCATTTTCAATAAATAATTGAAATCATTAATATAAGTAATAATAGTTGTTACAAATGATTTATAAAATTTAGATTTTTGTGTCACTTACAAAAAATAATAAAAGTTTAGGAATTAATAAATTATAAAAGATAATTAAAAAATTATTTAAACATATACATATTTTTTACAGAATCATTATAATTTCAAATATGTTTTCATATACTAAAAATGTAAAATAAGACCGTCAAGATTAATTATAGGCACATTAATGTTTTTGTAAGTTTTTTTGCACCTCGGAAATTTTGATAATAATACACGATAATACAGTATTTCCATCTGGTGGAGGATTAAGAGCGATTGATAATTAAGAATTAAAATTATTTTGCAGAAGTCCATTATAATAAAGATGTCAAAATTAAATTGCCCAGGAAAATTAATTAAGAGAAAATTCTCTAGATGATGCCTCGTATATAAGTGAAACACCAGTCGTATTATCGACGGTGGTGTGACATTCCTAGTGTAGTGAATTTGGGATTATTGGTGATAAGGATACTTTACGTAATTCAGGGAGGGGGGGGGGGAGTGTTCGTCACAATTAAGTCACGTCGTTCTTACTTTTATGAGGATCTTATATTAATGTTAATTTAACATCTTTAATAATATACATAAACAAATCACCTGTGTCGTGCAAAGAGAGCACATCTGCGGTCATAAAAACAAGAAAGTTAGTTGCGAGCGTTGTCAACTGCCGATCAGGTAATCTACCCTCAGCCAGGAGACTTGTCCTCAGGAACCTTGCCAGTGGCAATGAGTGGCCGGACTTTGATAATCTTGGCTCGAAATCTGTACAAAAATATTAATTGTTCATCATCATCGTATTTTACAGGTAAGTGATAATAGTCCAATATCACATGTAAAATTTTATTGGCTGTACTACTTGATCAGTCGATGAATTGTGAGGTAAATCTAATCAATCAATCTGATGCGTGAGTGAGTGAATGGATGGATGAATACTTGATTGAACGAACGGACGAATGAATCATTATACCATCTTTCTCGGATGTCAAAGCATTTAATCTAAGTCCAAGTCACAAAATACATTCCGCCACACTACAACAGAACGTATTAGCCGTTAGCGAACTTTAAATGTCCTTGAAATAGAATTTATTTCTCACTAATGGTTTTCTACAAATAACTCCTAATTTTTTCTTCAGTATCCAGCATTTGACGTTAGTATGCAGATGAAATAATACTCAAAATGTTATTGACGTATTAACTTTATTTCATGTGTCAGTGTGTTTGTTCCATTTCATGTTACAATAGAGTCAAGACTTTGCATTGTTGTGCAAGCAAGCAGTAACAGGTAAGGCGGTGGTCATACTACCTAATTTAATTGTATATTAGACGGCCATAAAGGTTACATATCGAGCCTTATGAGACTATCGGCCACAGCTGGCCAGATTCGCATCAGTCGAGCATTGTCATGTCATTCGCACAAGTATTGTCACTGACTTCCTAGTCGTACAAAAGCTTTAATTAAATAATATAGAGTTATTAAATCTGTCTTTTATAAAGGTACATTTGATTAAATTTCATTTATTTACTGTACTGTTATCACTTTGTGTGACAGGGACGATGCTCTACAAGAACAATAATATCTACGTAACACGTAAACCATAGAGGTGTAATTAAATTTAAATTAATTTTATTTAAGGTGTATTACATTTTATTCGTCTTATATTTTAGTAATGTAAAAAACATAATTACATTCATATCTTATGTTCTCATCGCAAAAATACTTCCTTAGCATAATATGATTGAATTAATTTGCGTGAGTTCTCCGCTGCTAGTTGATGAATAGTTAGCCATACTTGATGTTAATGTAAAAGAAACCCTAAGATAAATTGAATAACGGTATAAAACTGTAATATTTGAAATAGTTTAGCACCAGCGTGGATGTCCGTTTTAATTCAAAGTTAATTTATGTATAATTTAAAACTAAAAATTTTGTACAGCCGACTTCAATATAAGTTATTAAGAATAACTCTATAACTATTGGTCTGACCTTGATCAAATTCACATGGGACCACACGCGAAGTATCAACTTTCAAATAAAAAAAGAATCATCGTAATCGGTTCACCCAGTAAAAAGTTATGAGGTAACACACATAAAAAATACAGTCGAATTGAGTACCGTCTCCTTTTTGGAAGTCGGCAGAAAATGGTTTTATTTCGACCTTGCTATTGTTAATGAGTGAAGTTTATAACATAATTATTTTTGGTTTACGTTTTATTTCTATTTAGTGGCTGCAAACGTCAATGCTGATCATAGGATCCCAGATTTCGAATTTTGGGTCGGGCCAAAAAAATTCCATGATTATGAAAGCGAGGGATTAAAGAGTACACCTGTGTTTCGCACACACTCATATACTATAATCCTGCCAAGCGCAAGCGAAATCGGTCAGGAATCCTTAATTCTATAACTTACTTTTATTGTAGACAGCGGGTAGTACTCTGTAAGTGGGCGTGTGGGATGCACCTCGTGTGACATATCGCAAGTTGTTACACGACCCATCTACTCGTCGTCCCTCTTCTGGATCGCAAGGCTCTATTTGAGTGGTGCACCAACTGAAAGTTTTCAATTCTAACTATTTAATTTATGCAGATTTTTATAAAGTTCTAAAATATGTATTATTCAAAAATATCATAATTTCGATTTACGAATTTCTCCATGTAATTAAAAACCATTATTTTGACCAAACTATGCACTCTCATGTTATTACTTTAAGTTGAGTTTTCGGAAAATAAAAATAAACGTATTTTTTTTATAGGATAGGGTGACAAACGAGCACACAGTCCACCTGATGGTAAGTGGTTGCTGTGGCCCATAGACACCTACATCTATCCTCGTTTGCGAATCAAAACGCAGATGCGTTGTCACACGTGAGGACGAACATGGAATGCCTCTTTTCCGGTAAAAAGGGTCTCCGGATCTCTACACTCACCATACGAAACACAGCAGTGTTAAGCTGCCATTTTACACTGGAACTCTGTGAGAGCGTGGTCCTTCCCCGGTCGAGCCGACCCATTCGTGCTAAAACTATACTACTAATATAGCTGCAGCATGGCTCTACCACGAATGTATTCAATTTATTCATGCAAATGTATGCGAACCATTCGTATTTTATCATTTAACATTTTTTCTCAATACAAATTTGAATCCGTAAAAAGTATCTTAGAAGCTGGAACACCATATTTCATCCCCTACAGGTTTAAATTTTCCTAAATCCTTTCTTAGTGGATAGTAAAAAAAGGAAGTTGTTATCCTATTTTCACGCTTCTACGTCCAGCGGATTGAACTAAATACAAGTTTTTAATACAAAATTTGCAGCCTTGTTTTAAACTCATAAGGGTGTTTTGTAAAACGTTAAATATGTTTTCTCCATACAAAATTGAAAAACCTCTAATATCGCCGTCAATCACCCTATGAAATAAAAACTTTTATGCAAACTGTAACGCACTATTTCACTCTCTTAGGGGTCGAATTGTCCTAAATCCTTCTTCAATGGTGTCTACGTTATGAAAGGTAGCTTCTCCAAATTTTAGATTTCTACGTCAAGTTACTGACTCATTTAAGATTATGAATTCCAAGTACGACTTTTATATTCTACCTTTATACGTGGTAGAGTCATGCTACAGCTATATTAGTAATATAGTTGTAGCACGGATGGGTTGGCTCGACCGGGGAAGGACCACAGAATACCAGCGTAAAATGGCAGCTTGACACTGCTGTGTTTCGTATTGTGAGTGTAGAGAACCGGAAACCCATTTTATTGGAAAAGAGCCATGCCATCTTAGTTCTCACGGGTGAAGACGCATCTGCATTTTTATTCTTTATTGAGGAACAGACAACCCCTTACCATCAGGTGGGCTGTGTGCTCGTTTGGTACCCTAACCTATAAAAAAATCTTTATGTTTTTAGTTATTTAGTTAGATTAAAAATTAAAATAAAATAAGGCAAACGTAAGTTGACTGATTTAAAGTAAAATATAAAAAAAATACTAGCTGGTACTCGAGGCGTTACTGCCGTAGAAGAAATAATTGGGAAAATGTGGTTTGGTTGGGAAAGTTATGTTGTTTGATTAAAAATGGTAATACATTCATTGAATGATATATAATATGTAATAATCTAACAATGAAATATAAATAGTGAATAATCTATTCATTTACTTTAATAAAATTCTAACACGATGTCTGTCTGAAGACTGGGACTGCACTGGCCGGTAGCTGATGTTATAAGAAGTAACTTAGGCTATTATTATTTTACGAAAAAAAAATTGGGCTCTGTACAAAAAAATTAAAACGCATGAAATCTAATCGCAATAAATTACAATAAAGTGCACAGCTAGTGAAGAATACGTCAACTATTTCTTTACCGGCACCAATTTGCTTGTTTATTGTATTTTCACGTACTGATTTTCCACGTGCTCAACGAAGAAGGAAAACATCTTGTTGAAATCTTACACAACTTAGAAATAAAATGATTTTTCAAATATATTCATTAGTGCAGAGCGGCGGGCTTTTCTTGTCCTATTATATTAGTAATATTATATATAATATTAGTAGTTTTAGTAATATAAACTCTTACTGATATTTACTCTTTCCTTCGTATTAATCCATAAAAATACCAAGCAAAACGTCCGGTAAAATTAAATTAGGAAAATCAATACTACATGATATCTACGCAGGCTTAAAATGTATAGAAAATTGTTTAAATAACCAGTTGTATTAAGCTTTATGATTAAAACCTAATTCAAGACTATAGACCGGTTCTCAATCTTTAATTAAAACCGAATAAAATAAATAGAACAAACACTTACAACGTTGTGTTCTTTTTGTCTTGTCTTTTCACCTCCTCCAGGCTTATTTGTGTTCCAGTAAACGAGTCATAATTGATCGCGAGTTTGGCATAAGCGCTAGTAACGAGTAAAAAATGTAATAATAAAAACATTTCATCGACAAATCTAATAACTAATCTTATTTACATATAAATTTAAAATAATATTTTTTTAATGTTAAAACGAATGTAAATAAATCAATTATTTCAGCTGTTATCACCGTGAGAGCCGAAATTGAAATGTGGTGGTTTTTGCAAGTTAATACAATTTAACGGAATGTTTTTACATTTACATAAGCCGTTTAAACTGGTTTTGTTTTAGATTCACAAAACGTTTGAAAAATCCTTATCTTTGCTAGCATCAGGGCCATTATCATTTTTGCAAAATTTTTTGTACAATTGTATTAAAAAATGAAATACTTTTATTATTTCTAAAATTCCTATCCACAATTAATCTAAGTATTTTATATTAACAGGATTTTGATTAAAACTTAAACAACATAAATATCTTTTTTAATCATCATTGAGAAAGTGACGAAAATGTCACCTCCATGTCGTGTGCAATATCAGTTTATGATACTACAGACTAAAATAAAATATATACCACCACCACTCACCTACGATTTTCCTACGATATAGTCCTTATGGCAGAATTGCTGGAAGATCTAAGCGCTATGCTCAATGACCTCAATAGTGAATCTCAAAGGATAGGTCTTAAGATGAACATGATGTATAAAACCTTGTAAATGAGATTGTACAACCAGTGTGTATTGCCAGTGACGACCTGTGGAACTGAGACGTGGTCCTTCACTGCTGGCCATAAAAGAAAGCTCATGGTCGCTCAGCAAGCTATGGAGACGGCTGTGCTCGGAGTTTTTCTGCGTGATAAACTTAGAAATGAGGATATCCGCAGTAGAAACAGTCACCAACATAGCCCAACGGATTAATAATCTGAAGTGGCAATGGGCCAGCCATATAGCTCGAAGAACCAGCAACCGATGGGGAAAAAAGGTCCTCAAGTGGCAACCTCGTACCGGCGGAAGAAGTGTAGGGCTTCCCCTCTCTAGATGGAGTGACGACCTGGTAAGACATGCAGGAAGTCGAGAGATGCAGGTGGCTTAGGACCGTGCTTTGTGGCATTCCTTACGGGAGGCCTGTGTTCAGTGGTGGACTTGTGAAGGGCTGTAATGATGACGATTCTCCTAATTTTTCAAGCATACATTCCCTTCCAGCCTTAAACAGACGATCTCGTTCTGTCTGAAGCAGTATATCGTCATCTTACAGAGATTCATCTCCATCTGTATTATAAAATTGCTTGCCTAGTATACTTGATTCACCAAGTGATTGTAGTACTACATCATACCAAAAGAAAACTGGACTTAAGATATTTTTAAGATGATCTAGCTGTGCAAAATTTAATAGTGACTGATCTCATTGCGTAATAGGAAAGTCATATACACGAAGTGTACTAGTTGAAGAATCTCTTTTCGGCTCTAGTCATGACATCCCACATATAGTGCCAGAAAATACAGTTATAATAGCTGAAGAACCCAACACATTTCACAGACCTCAAACAACAGCTGTAACTTCTTACCGGGTATTGATCGAAGCAAAAAGACAGAAGTATTTTACATTGGTCAAATTGTTACTGTACTGGATTATAATTCTCTAATCTTGTACGTGGTAGAGTCACGCTGTAGCTATGTTATGATTGTAGCATGAATGGGTCGGTTCGACTGGGGTAGGACCACGCTCACACAGAATGCCAACGTAAAATAGCAGATTAATGTTGCTGTGATTCATATTGTCGTGTAGAGAACCGGAGACCCATTTTTACTGGAAACTAGGCATTCCATCTTAGTCCTCAGATGAGAAATGAAAAATTTTTAGTATTTGATCAAGATTGATTCCAGTTGACAAGTGTGATGAAGAATTCACGGTGTTTGTTTGGCCACAGTGTAAAGATGTTTCGTGTGAGTGAGTGAAATTATTACTGTTACATTATCTTGTTAAAAAAAATTACTACGTTCATTTCCTCATCTTTGCTAAGATTATTCTAATGAATAAGAGTTAATGAAAAAATCAAACCCTTGCTGGATTTAATTTTTCTAAAGATGATTTAGTTATTGCTACTTTTTATTATTTTATTATGGTTCCTCATTTATAATCATTTAAAAATTCTCAGTTACTTTATTTCGCAAGAGTTTTTCAAAGTTATATTCTAACTAAATAATGTTGATTAATAATAATTTAGCTACTATTAAAAGGGTGCTTATGTTACCAAAACCGAATAAAAATTCTGTTAACCGACTTGTGTTGCCATAAAGCTTATTAGTAATAGGGATAATTAATATAATATTAATTAAGCGTAAATACATACTTAATTAAGACTTAAAATTAATAAATACCAAACTGATTCATTATATAAACATAATAATTAAAAAATATCCTTTAATTCATCCATAAATCATTCATAATTTATTCAAATTATAAAATATGTCACTACCGTGGACCTGTGTAACTTTCGTGGAGAGGTGTTTTCATTTTTCATATTTTTTTGTGAAAACTACTGTGAAAATAGCTAGGCCTTAATGTGCTTTATAATGCATGATAAGATAACTTTCTTTGAAACTATTTTGAATCATGTCAAAATATTTTTTTTTTATTTTAAGTCTGTTTTTGAGAATGGCCCACCTAAACAAATTTTAAAAAGTTTTGAAGGTTGCATGTAATAGCTAATGTTGACCCCATCCAAAGTCTAGTCTAATGATTAGTCCACTGGTTACCATAGGCCTTCCACATTTATGGCCACAAAGTACCACCTGCAACAGTTTACTATCTGCATATTTCGTCAGGTCGCAACTTCATCTAGTTGCGGTCGTTCACCACTGCTCTTGAAAGTATAAGGCTGCCACTCGAGAACCTTTTATCCCCATCGGTTGTCGATCCTTCGAACTATATTTTATTTATTTATTTACGTATAAACATTTTACGTGGCCAAGATGCAGCTATATTATGATTTTAGCACGAATGGGTCAGCTCTACCGGCGTATGACCACGCGTTCACAGAATACCAGCGTAAAGTAGCACCTTTAAGCTGCTGTCCTTCGTATGATGAGTGTAGAGAACCGGAGACCTTTTTTACTGGAAACGAGGCAGTCCACCTCAGTCCTCAGGGGTGATAACAACGCATCTGCATTTTGATTTTTAATTGAGGATAAATGTAGATGTCTAAGAGCCACAGCATCCACTTACCATCTGGTGGACTGTGTGCTCATTTTTCATGTGAATTCTATAAAAAAAATACAATGATAGGTACATAATTATTAAAATTCTCTCGCCAAACTGCAATCAGTTAATCAGCGAGTAAACACTCTTAAAACTACATATTGGTATCACCTACACTATAAATACAATTAATTACAAAAACAAAAAGGAAATAAAAAATAACAATATTCAAAGATACCTAGTACAATTACAAAATATTTAAAAATAATGACAAAATTATAATAATAACAAATAAAACAATAATCACAATCAAAAGCGAGCAATAATGTGTAGTTACAGCTCAGTTATAATGTATGTTTCTACCGACTTCAAAAATGAGACCGTACTCTATTCAACTGTATGATTTTTTGTGTGTCTTACCTCATAACTTTCTTCTAAGTGTACCGATTTCTATGATTCTTTTTTTATTTGAAAACTGGTGCTTCTCATGTGGTTCCATATAAAAGATCAAGGTCTGACCAATAGTTTTTGAATTATTCTTAATAATTTATATTAAAGTCGGTTGTACAAAATTTATAATTTTTAATTATTAGGGAGGATTTTAATAATGCTTTGCTTAATTTCTTTTTGTTTGGAGACGTTGTTCTGAACCCTTTTATTTTGTTATAAGTTCTGGATACAATATATTTATTCAAGCGCTGTCCACGGCAGTTATTAGCACTAAGCTCTTCCAGTTTTTTTCCCTTACCTTACGCATGTTATAAGTGTTATTATTGAGTTATATTACTTTCATTCCTCAGTATAATAATATTCTATGGCTATTAAATATTTTTTGTAAATATACGTTTTTTTATTATATACAATATTAAAAGAATATAATAAAAAAAAACTTATAACTTAATTATCAGCTGCTCGAATACGTAAAATTTATTAGAAGCGTCAAGAACAATTAAAAATATTAAAACATGATGATGATATGTAGATATTCCGTAGACATATTTTGATTTTCATCATCATCATCAGGGTTTTGCAAGAGCTATATTTTTAATTAACTTTACTCTGTATCGTATATTATTTAAATGCATATATTAAGAGAAAATTAAAAAAAATCAACGTTCGGTTAAGCGCGCTAAAGGCACATAACCCTAGCCGTCCGATGAGAACCGAGAGAAAACAGCACAGCTCTACAAGCGAGGTGTCATGTCTCGAGGCTCAAACGCATGATATACGCGTGTGAAACCACGGGGCACAGCTAGTTTAAATTCATGATAGTTCTCAGTAGTGACAACGCATCTGCATTTTGATTTTTAATCATAGAACCATAATATTTTATAATATTATCAAAAGTATATCAAACGAGTACACAGTCCACCTGATGGTAAGTAGTCGCTGTGACACATAGACATCTACATTTATCCTCGTTTGCGAATCAAAATGCAGATGCGTTATCACCCGTGAGGATTAAGATGGAATGCTTCTTTTCTGCCTACTTCCAAAAAGGAGACGATACTCAATTCGACTGTATGTTTTTTTTATGTGTGTTAACCTCATAACTTTTTACTGAGTGAACCGATTTCGATGATTCTTTTTTTGTTTGAAAGCTGGTACTTCTCCTGTGGTCCCATATAAATTAAAAGCTTCATTTAAATTATAATAGCTTTTCACAATAACCAGGCTTATATAGTATCAGTTAAATGGTTGTAAACTCTTAAAACCATGTAGTAGGGAGAGTTTTTAAATAATATGGGATTTGTGGCTGGAGCCATCAGATTGTAACCACAGTAGCGCATGCCGTATTGACTGGGTCTACCTCAAATTCTAATATACACTCTACCTCTAAAAATAATGACGATTTTCCTAACAAAGCGGCATAATTCTAAAATGTA